CTACAAGAGAAGGTTCCTATTTTGTGTCCGGAAACCTCCCTTAGAATTTTGGGCATAGTGTGCCCATGTTTTGGGGCTGGCTGAGGCTGAAGGTAGATCATGGTATGAAGACCTCATTGAAGGTTCTGTTGCATTTTCTCTCTCTCTCTCACTCACACAGACGAAATAAGTAAAGTTTAAGGTTTAAGGAAATAAAAAGGAATTCAGATCTACCTTTTTCTAAAACTCTTGCTTTTTACCTAATATTCTAGAAGTAGAAACCATGATCCTTGGAGGAGCTTAAGATGTTGAGACAAAAATGAGAAAATAAATTCTAATTAAACAATTTGAAACAAAAGTGAATGTTGTTTATATACATATATACAGATCAAGTCGCCCTTATTTGAAAGACTTGGGGCCAGAATGTTTAAGCATTCTGATTTTTTAAACGATTTGGAAATATTTGCATATACACAATGAGATACCTTGGAGATGGGACCCAAATCTCAACATGAAGATCTACTTGAGATGTGATGTTGTTGCTCAAAAAGCTTTGGATAGGGGCCAGCAGATGGCAGAGCAGTTACATTGCTGACCTCCCACATAGCCAACTGAGATTCCCTAATTTAGGAGGAGCAGCAGATTGCATAATGGTTACATCACTGGACTCCCGTGTAGTTAACCATGGTTGGAATACTGGACCCAGTGGCTTCAAACTCACACTGGGTGTATGTGCATGTGTGCTCAATCCTGGGAGAAGAATGGAGGAAAAGGGATTGGGGTGAGGCAATCCCCTCAGGGTTGATTTCTCACTTTCCGTCTCACTATCTCTGTCTCTCTGGCAAGTGTACATACTCTCAAGCAAAAACTCTTCAAAGGAAAAAAGTTATGGATAGTGGAGCATTTCAGATTCTGGATTTTAGTATTAGGGATATTCTAACTTGTGTAAAACATATTTAAAAACACATGGGCACCAGAAAAACGCAATGTAATCTGTGAATAAATCCCAACCTTATGTAATCTTTTGCTTAAAAAAAAAAATCAGTGTTTGAGTGAGTCATAGGGACTGGAAAGGGAAATGGAGTAGCAATGAAGTATTTAAAATAATGCAAAGTGGAAACTCTAATGTTCCATGGAGTTGCAGAGTTTGGGGGATCATAACAAATCCCTTACACATTAGTCTCAAAGTAAGAGTCAAATCGTTCTGTAAGGGTGAAATTCTGTAAGTCCGATTAAACTAATGAGTGCTCTCTTTCTCCTTCAACCTTTTATGTGTAATGTGTCTCAATTTGTTTCTGATTTTAACAACTTAACTTTTTTCCATAGACATGTACCTATCATAATATGCCTTATGTATTTAACTTTGGGTTTCATATGCTATCCTTTTTTTAAATAAAATAATCATTTTATTTAACTTTATTTTATTTGTTTACTTATTTTAATTTGACCAGAGATGGACAGAGAGAGAGAAAAAAAAATGAGAAAGCAACCCACCAGGTCTAGGTCTCGAACTGTGGTTGACCCATGTGGGAGTCCACACCCCTGACCACGCCACCTGCCAGTCCCATACACTATCCTTTAAAGAAAGATGTTAACCAATTTTTGTTTGTTTTGTTTTAAAATATGGGGGCCAGCAGGTGCTATAGAGGTTAAGGCTCAGGACTCCTACGTGACTGACTGCAGTTCAAGTCTTGGACCTAGAAGCTTGAAACTCATACCTGCCATGTGTGTGCATGCCCAGAGTCCTGAGAGGAGAATGGAAGAGAAGGGATTGTTGCATAGTCTTTCCTCTGGGGGGTGATTTCTCATTTTCTGTCTCTCTGTCTCTCTCTCCAGTGAATGCTCATGCCTATAGCAAAAATCTCTTTAAAAAAAAGAAATATGGGCTGGGAACAAGCAGGTAGCGTAATGGCTATGTCACTGGACTCCCACGTAGTCAACCACGGTTCGCGTCCCGGACCCGGTGGCTTAAAACTCATGCCGGGCGCATGTGCATGCGTGCCCAAGATCCCAGGAGGAGAATGGAGGAGAAGGGATTGCGGCGTGACCATCCCCCCCAGGGGGTGATTTCTTGCTTTCTGTCTCTATGTCTCTCTCTTGTCTGTCTGGCGAGTACACGTGCCCTATAGCGAAAACCTCTCCAAAAAAAAAAAAGAAAAAAGAAATACGTGTATATGTAAAACAGAGCGGGTTATGCAGTCCAGAGGATGCTTGTTACTAGTGGCAGCCTCCCAATCCTCACACTAGATTCCATGCTCCTTCCCTCTCCGTAAAGTCAACCAGTGACTCTGTGATGATTGTAGACCTCACATAGTGTGGATGTCTGTTGTTATTACTGATTTTGCTTCAGAATGGGTGATAAATGGGAGAAATTATCAATCACTTAACTTCTTTGTTTTAAAGTAAGTCAGCACACACATTTTAATTGATAGAAGCAGTCTAATTTTTTGAAAGATTGAATTAAAGTAAGACACAGCAGCATACTTTTTTTAAGTTGTCAACTCTTATGTATATGGCCAAATAGAAGAACTGCTGTCAGCTTCTTTAAATCTACTGAAATTTCCTGTGAATTTATGAGTGGCCAAAGTAGGGTTCAGC